AAAAAAAAGAACAAAAAAAGAGAGAGGGGGGGGGGGAAATAGTTCTGGGTGAAAGTGTTTTGTTGATGCCAGAGTTCAGAGGAGAATGGCCAGACTGATTTGAACTGACAGGAAAGCAATACCAACTCGAATAATCACTGCTTATAAGAAAGATGGCAGAAGAGCATCTCTGAAGGCACATCACATTGATCCTAGAAGTAAACGGACAGCAGCAGCAGAAGACCACAATGGACACAATCATTCAACAATGAAGGATCTACACACACACACACACACACACACACACACACACACACACACACACACACACACACACACACACACACACACACACACACACACAACATATATATACATATATCTGAGTTTGATTGGTTTATCGTGAAAATATTGATTATAGCTGTTTTATATCAAACTGATTCAGGGAAATATGTGACATCACCTTTGCCAAACAACTCCCACCCACTTCAATAAACCAGTAAGAGAAGCACATGACCAATGGCTCTGAATGTGCGGTCAGCATAAAACCCAGTACGTGGTGCCACATTTGATTTAACTTATTCGATTTGACTTGTCCACAGCAAATCAAAGTTTCTGCACTGTCTTTTCCAAATCCAACAAATGCATTTATTAGTTAATTTAGTGTTTGTGGTTTGTTGGATCTTGGTCCCAAATTGACAAATGGCCCAAAACATCAAGAATGTTTCACAGACATTGTTGCAGCGACTGCTTTTCAAAACCTTTTAAGTCTCAGTTTTATGATATGGCACAAAACTAATAATTACTAACTCTTACAGTATTTTTATCGCCCAATATGTAACCTGATTTAAATGTGAGCCTTATTATGACATATTGAGCTGCACAGTAATAACCCAGGAACCCAAACATATACACAAGGATGGTCTGCACCATGAAATAACGAACCATCTGATGTAGAAGTCCATACACGTCACATGCAACATATTGTACTGAAGACACATGTACCCTTCTGACAGGAACATCCATATCTTTTGATGGCATGTGTCAGTGTACAAAGGGCTTCACTGGCATGAAACTGTGACTGCTGAATGTCCTTGCATGCCAGCTTCATATGACATTCATTAGGGTTTTACAAAACAGTTTTGTTTTGCTTTCAAGATTGCTTACATCGGCATCTATTCTACTAAATAACATGGTAGCGGTGACATTTCGGCTTAAACAAACGGGGAAATTAAATGAACGGATTAGCTAACCTCGGTGAAATAGAGATATCTTTCCAGACTAATGTTCCCAAGAATCACTTGCTGAAAACTGCTGACTGTTACCATGGCAACAGCAAATTTTGATGGTGGACCTTGTATATCATTGTGTTTTATTGCTGTTGCTGGGAAATGATTCAGAGTGCTCTCAGTCACACAAGCTCTCAGGAATTGGTGACAAAGTGGTACACTGGGGAAACGAGTGCAGCGGGAAGCCGAACAACATAATTTTATAATCTGTCTTTTCATGGAAGCTTTCTGTCTTGTGCACCCAAGCACTGCTTTAAAATAAAAAAAAAGCTCTGGAAATGGGCAAAATATAAATCACATGAGTAGATGAAGAAAACAAAAGGAAGACGAAATACAACAAACTGACTGTGAGATCGCATGTTTCACTGATGAAAACATCGTACTTCGTAAACGGTTAAAAAAAAGGTTGAAAAAAAACGAGATACCCCTTAATCTGTTCTTTCTTTTATTTTATAACTTGTCACATGTTCACTCACCAACAGTGCTGTAGCGTAAAATTAAACAATGATAATCTCTGAGCTGCAGGACTGCTGCAGAATTGAATTATCACCACACGCTCTCTCTTCTCACACCAATGAAGCTCGTGGGGAATATTAATTAAAATGGTGAGAACTGTAGGGCACAGGTTATTCTGAATGGTTGATAAATGATTTACAGCTCATTCAAAGCTGAAATTCGCTTTTAATTTCCAGTAGTACAAACGCCAAGAGAGGCAAGACTACTCTGATGAGTTATCAAGGCCAGGTTTTGCAGTCTAAGGTCACAAACTCACCTAATAATTCAGTCATTAATAGTCATTTTTTGAAAAAGGTCTACATAATCTTGCTTATAGGGGAAAAAAGGCAATGGTACTTTACTGATAGACATCATAGTCAACTGAGAAGGGACAGGATGAACACTGGGGGCAATGCCTGGTGAGGTGGTAGAAACGAGGTGAGAATGGTCGGGAGTTTCTGTGTAAGAGAGCTCACAGTGAGCATCAGAGCCATCTGACCGGCCTGGGCAGCAGAAGGCAGGAGTCAAACACAGGAAGAAACAGGGCAAAAGAGCTGGGTGTCAGGATGAAGAAAAATTGGTGCCTGCCAAACCAAAAAAGGAAAGAAGTGTTCGTGCTTCAGCCAGGCACGAGCCTGGTTGAGATACTTCAGGTGGAACAGTGGTAAGCACTGCTGTCTCACAGCAAAGAAGGTACTGGGTTTGAATCCACCAGCTGGTTGAAAAATCTCTTACACAATGACAGAGCTCACGTGACCCTTCCTTTGTGTGTGACTAAAAACATTATGAGAGGCTCCATTTTTCCTTTCCTCCAGCAAATGTTTAATTAACACATATAACACAATAACGTGCTACCTTAAAATTCCTTACTATTAAACAAACATGGGGCTAATCTTGTCATCTGTCAGACTGTATTTATTTATTACATTGCTGATATTTATTTGTACATTTTGTCCATGATTGGTAGAAAAAGATGTGCTACAGATATGTAGTAGTTTATGCTGCATCTTCTTACCCTGTTTACATAGTATAAAGTAAAAGCTTTGCCAAAAAATAAACAGTTTTTAAAGATTACAAAACATATAAATAAAAAGGCCACTTGGGTTGAATTGAACTTTTGTTAGAATCATGAACAAAAAGGGTATTTTGACATTTACAGTAAACAACAAGTAATCATGCATTTCAACATAATCTATAATCCTTATGAATTTAAAATAGTAAACTATGTTGCCATGCATCTATATTCCTGTAAGTTATAGTAATATACACAGTATGGTGTCAATAACTTTAGTATATTTAATGAAGTCATGCAAAACTTTACTATGGTATCATGGATATTTTCTGAGGTACAGATCCTTTAAGTACGAAAGGGCTGGGTCAAGATTTTGCACTTTGTAATTTTTGTTACTTTTACCCCAGCACATTTGAGCCCTGTGACTTTACAAATAATATGAGATTTAAAAATAGTACAAAATTTCACCTTAGCACTAAGTAAAACCCAATTCCAAAACCGCTGGGATGCCGTATAAAAAATAAACAAATAAATAAAAAAGCTATGATTTGCAAATCTCTTAAACCAATAACTTTTCACAATAGTACATAAAAAAAAAATAAATCAAATGTTTAAATAAAATGTACTATTTAAATTTTAATTTAATGGAGCAACATAACTCAAAAAAAGTTGGGAATGGGCAACAAGAGGTCAGAAATTTAGAGATACTAAAAAGAAACCGCTTGAAGAACAAAAGGTTAACTGAGAATTTGTCAGTAACACGATTGGGTAAAAAAGTGCAGCTTAGAGACGCAGAGTTTCTCAGAAGTGAAGATGGGAAGTATCTAGAAGATACAAATTATGGAACAATTTCAGAATGATATTTATCACTGTGAAGACTTACTCATCATCTACAGTATATAAAAGGATTCCTGCAATCTGTAGAAATCTCTGTGCAGAAAGGAACAAGTCTGAAAATCCAATAGTGGATGCCTGTGATTTTCAGGCCCTCGGGCATTGAAAACAGCCACTATTTGGATTTGTTCGGAAATCACTGTTATGGAAATCACTGAATGGGCTCAGGAACACTTCCAGAAATCACTGTGTGTGAACACAATTCACCGTCCCATCCACAAACGCAGGTTAAAGCTCTATCATGCAAAAAAAGAACCCCTATGTGAACATGATCCAGAATTGCAGCTGTCTTCTCTGGTCAAAGCTCATTTTAAGAGAACTGAGGCAAAGTAGAAAGCTGTTCTGTGGTCAGATTTTTTTGGAAAACATAAATGCTGCATCCTTCAGACTAAAGATCAGAAGGATCGTCTGGTTTGTTATCAGCACGCAGCTCAAAAGCCTGAATCTCTGATGTTTTTTTGACATTAGTATCTATGAAACAGCAGCTGGCACTTCTGAAAAGGCACCATCAGTGCTGAAAGGTATGTACAGGTTTTAGAGGAAAATATGTAATGTCTTTGCTGCTGATATAATCTTAGCATACTTCATATGCTGAGACCATGCTACTGCATCTATTGCAGCAGCATGGCTTCATAGAAGAGTTTGGATGCTGAAACAAAAAGTACAACAAAGACAACACACAACTGTTGAGCAGTTAGAATCGCCTATCAGATAGGAATGAGGCAATTCTCCTCTACCAGAGGGTCTAGCAGCTGGTCTCCTCAGTTCCCAGATGTTACAAAGAGACGTTACAGAATGTTGCTAAAAGAAGAGGGGATGCCCCGCAGTGTTAAACATGGCCTGTGCCAAAGTTTTTAGATATGTTCTGGCCATCAAATTCAAAATAACCTGATTTAAAAATAAGAATAAAAGGTTTGACATGTGTTCTATGTTCCACCTTCAATAAAAAAAAATGGGTTGAAATGATTTGCAAATCATTGCAATCTACTTTTATTTCCATTTAACACAGCATCCCAGCTGAAGTGCATCTTAACTTGGGGACTTTGGATAATTTTGCATGCTCTCCTTAAATATACACACATGCACTATATTAAATTTACTGTAATACACATTTCTTTGTATGAAATATGAAATTACCAGTCTTATCATATACACATGTATGCATACCGTGCTACTAGATAATGAAAAGCATTTTGTCAACTGCTGAATTATGACAGATAAATATTCAACTGAATTCTCTTGATAAGATTGAAACTGACAAAGTTATACACAATGTGAGCTTTGATATTGAATCATCTGAAAATAAGTTTCATGTAGCATCATATCAGAGTTTGGGGGGATCCCATCATTCAAAGACGTGTCTATCACTGGAAGAAGAAAGAGACCTGCCACTGTGACGACCAGTTGCCTGATAAGAAACACACAAACACCAAAATGCATACAATGTAAAAAAAGATGCAGAAACACATTTATATTGTGTGTTAATGTAAAAATTGACTCACATACCCCTGCGTGTCCTTTGGAGAAGTTGGCATGAGCATAAAGAAGCACTGCAATGTCATTGTGTCCTGCCTCTAATGCGATGGACATGGCTGTGCTTTCATCCTGTTTATGCACAAAATACACCACAAGAGCTTCTGTTGTTTATCGCACAATAACAGACAGAAAATAAACAGCCTCAGTATATTTAATTACATACCATTTCTATCCCTTTTGTTTTCTCCTGACACACTGAATGTGTCTTCTGTAACAAATGGTTACTCTCTGCTTTTGTAATATATATTATCTAAAACAAAGTAAGAGCGCTTCTGCTTCACAGCTTGAGGCCACTGGGCTCACAGAAGCTGCAAAGTAGAGGCAATGACTCACATACACTGTCAGTCAGGGTGGCATCGCACTCCGGCTGTGCCAGCAGTAGTTTAACAATGTCAGCGTGGCCATGCTCGCTTGCACACATCAGCGCTGTGGAGCCCTCATCATCCTGGAGATTGACCTCCGCCCCTTGTGCCAGGAGTGCCTGCACCATGTCCATCCTGCCATGGCTCACAGAGAGCATCAGAGCCGTCTGACCGGCCTGGGCAGCAGAAGGCAGGAGTCAAACACAGGAAGAAACAGGGCAAGTAATACTGAGTCACACATCTCCAAATATAAAGATACAGTCAGTAGACGACTGGGGAAAGGAAAAAAAATGAGCGGGACAGTGAAGCTAGTTCAGTTATTTATTCTTTCTTATATTGATTCACTGAATTTCAACTACACAACACAAATGTAGCCACTGGATGAATATTTTCATCTTTTTGAAAGTTTACATTTAATTGAATTATTTGCAAAATGTTCTCAGTCTCGTGGTTTGTTCTCTCTTCTTTTGGACACAGGAAATGTAATCAAACATAAAAGGTTAAACGTGCATTGCAGATTCTAGCTTGTGATTCATGCAGTGAATGGAAGTCGGCTTAGGACTGATCTTTTCGCGTAGGAGTGTGGCCGCTCCTCTGTATCAGCATATCACAGCAGCTGCGCCATCGGTTGCTAAGCCAACAAGCCTCGGACGTAGCATTTCCTCAGAGGTGCATATCCAGTAAAAGTGACAAGTTGCAGATCTCAACTTTGTGAGGAATTCTGACGCACATAATCAGGCGTTTGTTTGGCAGTGCTGTGATATCTGCAGGATTTTTTTTAAGCAGCTAAAGACAAAGGAAAGACTGTTTTCATTGTATTTATATTTATGCAAGCAGTTACATTTATCTGTCTACATAAAATAAACTCCAAAAATTGTTAAGATTAAAATCAGTCAATCATCTTATAAGGAAAGTTGCTTTAAAATAAAATAGTTGCACACAGTTCCTCCTATGTTTCATCTTCTGACATCACATAGGAGAGTAGGTTGAGTGATGCAATAAATCATTTTGACAATACCCACATTGAATGAAAGCCATGAGAGCTGCAGCAATTTTTAAAAAATTGTAAAACTAGTTTGTAAAAAACTTAAACTATAGTGTAATGTGAGAGCCAGCTAACCACTCCTCACCCACAACCTGAGAACATACTGACCTGGCTGGCCTTGGCGTTGACATCTCCTTTAGTGAAGAGCTGCTCGACTACTTTCATGTTGTCTGGATTATCCACAGCAGCAAGTGCAGCCAGCATGATGGGCGTGTAACCTGCTGAATTCTGCTGATTCACGTTGCACACCTCTGTAGTGATTGGCGGTCAAATGGATGGCAGTGGAAAAAACAAGCAAGAGGAAGAAGAATGTATATTATTTTGTACTGATAACAATTCACACTTGTTTTAATCATACAAATGCCAAGTTTTATTTTGTAAGGAAGACCTGTTCCAGATAAGCTTTTGTGGTGAGTGACTAAAAATGACAAAACTGTTATGCAATATAGATTCACAGAAAAAGGCTAGCGCTTAGAGATATATATTCTGAGTGATATACATACACAGAAGCTGTTCAGTCGGGCACCCAGTGCAAATATCAAACTGTCCTGACAAACTAAATAATTAAGTGACTGTCCAGAATAGTGTTTCTCCCTTTCGATCCCTTTTATACTCATTCACAGCTGGAAAAATGGTTGAAACGAGCCATTATGATTTTCAAAAGGCAATCTCCAGCACATAATTTCTTATTTAAAAAAAAATCGTATTTTCCAAGCTTTTCCCAAAAAACCCATCTCATTTATCAGCTACCCAGCAGTCAAAAATGTATTCTATTGCCCATGCTGGTTTAAGAAACCAGGGTCTTCTTTTTTATCAATATTTTACCGTTTTTGACAGGAGCACTTTGTATCTTACCACACACAGAATTCGCTTGCTGCTGGTATTTTCGCCACCTAGTGGCTATTAGAAAGAATACTAAGATGTTCATATGATATGACAAATCCAGATTATACATGGGCTTCTGAGCGGTACAGCTGAATTACACAAGGCGTTTCCACCCTAAAAAACTGTGAGCTTGCTTGTTTCTCTGATTTTCTGGGAGATTCAAATTAAAAGGACAACTCTTGCGGCATTTTGTAGAAGTTAAAAAAAGCCCTGGCAGCATAATTTGTCTGTAATCTTGTTTTAAGCATGTCCAGACTGCAAAGAAATAAACTTAATTCTCGTGACATAGAGGGACAGAGAAAAACAATATGTACTTGGGGTGGTGTGGTGATGTACCTGGATTAAGCAATTTCTTCACAATGCCAAAGTTCGAGTGAGAAACGCTGTAGTGTAGAGCTGTGTTTCCATTGCCGTCAGCCATATTAACTATGTACTGCAATACTGAAGGTGAAATGGCCTGAAACGTAGATAAGTAGTCCTCTACAGTTTCAGGAGATGCTGACTTGTGGCTGGACACAGAGAACCACTCTTGCTGGAGTGTGTGCAGACAGTCCTGCTGCAAGAGGAAAAAAGGATGCATTATATATGCAAAAACAGCACTTCTTTTTTTAAACATTAGTTTAGTAGAGCAATCAGGACTGAATAGACACAATCCTCCCATAATTACAGGGATGTGAATGAGAGAAGACAGACAAACAGCATAAAGCAACAATTCTATAAAAGACATCATAAAAGAAGAGGAATCTGTCATTATTTCAAACATAAAAAGGCATGTGGAGAGTTCTTGTTATTCTTTTTAGTGTTTCAGCTTTCACAATGGAAGCTGTCAAGAGTTACCTTGCTGATATACTTCCCTTGAATTCCACTTCTTCTTACCTATTTTGCATTTTACTGTGAAAGTGAGTAGTCTATTTCACTTAGAAAGAAAAACATTCTCAAGTTGAAGCAAATGATATGGCTAAAAATTCTTCTACTGAGGAATTCTTTTCATATCCAATGGCAAGGATACTTCTTTAGAAACGATATACTTTCAACCACCATGGCCCAGCATCTCTCCACACCCATGCTAATCAAAACACGTACAGACAAACAAGGCCCGTGGTGACTTTCAGTGGCTCTCATACTGAATATAGTAAAACAAAACATACCATTTCCCTGTTGGATAAAGCTGTGTCATCACTCAGGTGCGTCTTTAAGGCTTGACAAGCAAAAAACATCCGTTCGCTCATCCTACGCCTGAAAATAACCAAATTCTATTGGTTACTAGATGTCAGTTCAGATTTGAAAGGACTCCCACAGTAATGCAGACTGCTGTTGCGAAGCTTTTTATTGTTGCAGTTTTATTGGCTTTGAACCCTTTTAGACTTCTCCCAGATTACCTCTGCTGTGTATACACTCTCGCAGCTCCTTTTGATCCCTTGTTGTCTTTTTCCTTTCGTGATTGGGCAACATCTTGAGGAGATTCCCTAAATGTTCTTTTTATCTTTCTGTCCACATCATCATGCTCATAATTCGACACTGGGTCCAGCCTAAGAACAATAAAACAAGAGCTTAATATCTATGAACATACCACATCCATCATTTCAGAAATAAAACATTTGTTTAGACATTAGACACCTACCCTGTAGTCACACCCAGAAACTTCATGCTCTGCCTGTTGCTACTACAGCACTGGTTACCATTCTGTTTCTTTATTACATTCCTTGGCTTACCAGCATTATCTGACCTGTCTAGAAATGAGCACAAAGCACTTTTATTCTTAACACAAATCACACAGTATGTTGCATTAAATGCATGTATAGCAAAACAGTTACAAGGCTAGCTAGGTCACGTTCAGAGTATATGAAAACACACGATTCTTTATGCATTCGTTCACATCTAAAAGCCTCGGTGGAAAAGAGAAAGCATTCTTTTACACCAGCTCCTCCCACAAAGCAGTTCAATTTTAGATCTTAAGCCACAAAGTGCTATGTGGCACACAACGTCTTCCAAAACCAGATATCATTCCACACATCGCAAATGCATCCCTCAAAAAGGGAACTTGCCAAGCTGAAGCCAGCCACTTCCCCTGAACCTAGTTCAAGTTTAAACTGGGTGCCGGGAGTGGCTTCAAAATAAAATATTTTTATACTAAAAGATTTTTAAACTTCCTTCACTGAGACAAAATTCCTACTAACTGGATATTTACTAAATATCTCATGAAAAAAAGGATTTGGATTTATAACTAAACATAAATAAATAAAAATATTACCTTGTAAACCAGAGGACGTCTGCTGTTCTATCATTTTAATCATTCTTTTCACCTCTGAATCATTACTGCTCTGTTGACACAGTCCTGCATTTGCTTTGTCACACTTAGAGGAGACAAGTGAAAGTTGAGACTGGGACTGAGAGTCTTTGTTTGCTGCATGAAAGTAAGATAATAGTAGACAGAAACGTATAAACATAACATTGCAGATTTGAAAAAAAATGTTAATTGCATCACCTACTTTGTGTAGATAAAGGGTTTTTTTTAATGTGTAAAAATCTGGAGCTATGTCATTCTATACAAATGACAGCAATAATGCAAGCAATACAAGCGCAAACTGTTCAACCTATTCAGAATGTATAGTAATAAATTACCAGGAAATTTGGTATCAGCTTTGCAAATGTTTTATGAAGAATCAATGTTTTTGGTTTGCTGTGTTACCTGCTGGTTGAGAACTGAACATGTGGATGTCTGTCCCTCCTTGTGCCATAGGTTTTCTATTGCAGGAGCTGGGATCTCCTTGGCCACTGTTATGATCAGGACAGTCCTCTGTGAGCAGGTCCCCATGCTCCATGCTGAGGAGCCTCTGCAACTTCTCGATGTAATGGTTCAGCTCATGGTCCCACTGTAACTGTGCAGGTTTCTGGAAATTCTGTCCAGGTGTCCTGGATGAAACTGAAAAATCCCTTATCCGCCCTTCCCCTACACCAACACTCTTTGTTTTCACAGGGTCAGGTAGATGGGACGGTCCGGATGCCATATTTCGAGTTTTCAGTCCAACTAGGAAATTCTCATTAATGTCTGTGAATCCAACTCCAGTGTCTCGAGTTACCCTGGTGACCGCTTCTGGTGTTTGCTTTGAAATACTTTCTACTGCATTTGCAGTTCCTACACCGATTGTTCGGGTCTCTGTGGTGCATCTGACGTCTCGGACCCTATTGCCTACAGATACTGTCCTAGTTGAAGTGTGAGTGGTGTTGGTGTGCTTGTCTTGGGTGCTGAGGAGCGTATTCGTGCTGGAGTCAGTGCTGAAGGCATGCTTGGTGTTGGTAAAGCGAGACACTGAACTACATACAGTGTTGGTACGCTGCGATGCTGTTTGGGGTGATACCATGATTCCGAGCTCAACTCCTCTGACTCGATCTGTAGTCATACACTGTGAAACTGCTTCCTTTGCCTCGCAAATGGTCACATCGACAGAACAATCCCCACAAGCCACTGAACAATACTCTTTCTTGGACCTCAGATTTGCCAGTGGCGCCTCTGTGTTGCTTTCTGCATCACATACCCTTATCTCTGTCCCAACTCCTTGTGTGTTTGTAAAAACGTGCATTTCCACAGCCTTGTCGCTGGTCTCCACTCGCTCCCTGACCTCCCAGAGGCTCATGGGTACATCCAGTCCTGTGCAAATACTCCTCATCATAGGTGCACAGGATACTCCTACAGTTTTTACCTCCTTTTCCTCGCCTGTGGAAGCATCTCTGAGCTCTGTGTGATTACCCACTCCCTGGCTTTTGGTGTGTGGCCTTGCATCTGAGCCTATGCTTACAGTGGACGGTCTGGCACAGCAGGCCTTGTCAACCCGGTTCCTGGCTCCTGCAGCCTGAAGTTCCAGTTTCAGACGAATCAACTCCGTCTCCAGAGCTGATTCTTTCAACTCTATTTCTAAGTGACAAATTCTCTCCTTTAAGGCACTGTTTATTAATTCTTGGGCATCACGCTCTGCCTCCTGTTCTGTGTAAATTCCCAGAATGACTTCAGATACTTCTGTTGCAATGGACCTCATCTCTACCTGCTCAGTGTATGCATATTTGTTTTCTTTTGGTGGCTTAGACAAGATGATATCCATATCGTTGTCAGTTCCCACAGCGACTGACTTAAATGTTTTGTCATGAAGAGGGTTACATTTTTCATGCAATGTTCCCAACTGTCCCACTTTGATGGACCTTTCCAGTTCTTGCATGTCTTTGGTCAATCGCCCAACCTCCTTCAGATCTGTGCAGCTACTTTTAACTTCAAGATCTTTTTTGGTATTTCTGTTGATCTCAATTTCAGACCCTTCAATGGTATACGGGCTGTTCCAGGTTACATCATTGACGTTCTCTCTCTCAATCAAGTCCTTGAGCTGACAGCTTAGTTGCCTCTTTTCCTCCTGAAGGACTGAGATCTTTACCTGGAGGATTGGGATGATTTTCACTTGCTCCTCTAACTCTTTCAGTCTTTGTAGCGCAACCACCATTTGGTCACGGACATGTTGCAGGTGCATGGGGACTGGAGTTGTTCTACCTGAGCTCTGTGGACTTACTCTCAGACAGCCTGTGCTGCCTCTACTGCCCAGGGATGAGCCGAGTTGGACCTCGGGTCCAGTGCCAGTAGGCTTATTGCCATTATTGTTCTGATTATATGCACCTAGGCCAGTGAACGGTGAGAGTGACCCAGGGGAGCTCACACCTCCGAAGCTGGCCAGTCGTCGACGGGGATAGGGCTGGGGTGGAGAAAGTCTTGTCACCTCCTGATTCAAGGGTTTGTGGGTCTCCAGAAAGGCCCTCTCCATCACAGGGCTTTGACTTTGGAAGAGAGATCGTGCAGCTGGCTGAGGCTTTGGCTCAGTTAGTATCTGAGAGGTTCCCAGACTTTCATTTCTTTTATTATTATCCAACAAGGAACCATGTGGTGGAGGAAGAGGTGGTCTACCTCGAGCTGCAGAGGACATGCCCAGTAGTTTTGAATCATCACCACTAGATGATGACAAGGA